TTGGGGGCGAGGCGCAGCGGCTGCTCTGATTTCTCGCCTTGTATTTCGGCCGAGGCCCCTCGCGCTCCCCCCCCCTCCAGCACCTTTCTGAGAAATCAAGAGACATAAACTAACCAACGCGCGAGGCTTTCTTTCTCCCACCCAATGCTCATTAACCTGCGCCTAACGCCCGCGCTCTGCGCTCCGATTCCGCTTCGCCTGCCCCGCTGCGCTCCGGCTGCCAGCGCAGCCCGGAGATGCCGCGTTGGGTTAGCGCCAAGGGCTTCCCCCGCAGCCCCCAGCGAGCTGCTAGGGCCGTGGGCCTGAGCCCGGCGTGTATCTCTCCGGCTAGGCAGCCCCGTGTGGGCGATCCCAGCTCTGCCCATACCCCGGCACTGCGGGCCGCTCCACACTGGGCTGCCCCTTGTTCCTGGTCTCCAGCCAGCCCTGTCGCTGCAGGGAGGGGGGATCAATCCACACCCCCCCCCACACCGCGCCAGGCTGCCGGGGGTAATGCAAGCCAGGGAGGGGGAATCAATCCAGGCCCGCCTGAGGCTCCCGCCCCGGCGCTGGAGCTGGGATCAAATGATCCCCCGAGGGGTTGCAAGCGCTCCGGGAAAGCTGGGTGCACTGGTGTAGATCCGCGGGTAAGCGCACATTTCTAGATCGGCAGGCGGCTCTCGGATGCCCCTCGTTACCTTCCTGCGTCAGCCCCAGGGATCCTATTGGCGGGGTCTGGATCTCCCGATCCGGCCGGACTGATTCAGGCCAGGGGCGCTGTGGCTGCCCGGGACCCAACGCAGGGCGTCCAACCTGATTCGCTGAGAAGCGCGTCCAGAGGAGAGGGAAGCTGCGGTGACTCGAATCCGATTTAGTGGCTCAGCCAAATAAGGCGTTTACACTCCGGGTCGGGAAGGGTCTCCCGATTGCTGCTTCGTATTTGCGTAGTTTCATTCTTATTTCACCGCCGTGTGCCTGGCCCCTTTGCCACACTGAACCAGGAACAAAGTCCGCAGGGAACACCCAAAGGACCCCAACATCTTCCAGGGAAAAAGGGCAGGAACATTACCAAGGGATGCTCTGGTTGGTTAGAGTCACACCTGGACATCAAATCCTGAGCCGAGCCTGGTCCCACAACGAGTCATTTCACTTAATTAGTGAAAGGTATTAGTGCTTTCCAGAGCTGAAAAATCAGAGCCAAGTCTCGAAGCTCTGGGGCTTAGGGAGCTGCCCATACCGAGCTGTTCCGACAAAGTTGGAAAGCAGATCTGGTCCATGGCTGAGCGCCTGGGTGTTAAGAACATTCAAATAATAATAGGTAATAATCAAGAAATTCAGGCTGACATTTGAATAAACTTGCGTTCTACTGGGCATTACTACTTGATGCCTCTATTTGCAGGTATTTTACTGGCTACATCACTGGTTCTTTCTTTCTTTGGTCAAAGACTTGAAACTAAAATTTGCATTGATTTCAGGATTTATCCAGCAGCGCAAGGAAAGAAGAGTCGATTGCTGCTCCGTGTCTAGCTATAGTAGCGGAGTGGGTATTTTGGTAGCCTGCCACCAGTATCTGAATGTCTCAACTTGCCTGCATAGAAGATTTTAAATGACACATCTCATCTATTAATATAGAGTAGTTGGGACCCGAGCCTGCAGTCTGTATGCAGGTGAAACTCCTATTAACTAACTGCAAAGTGACTGTTTACATGAACCGATCCGTTATGCTACTTATTTACTTAATTTAATTTCCCCCCTTTTAGGTGGGTAGCTGCTGAAATATCACGTTCCTTTCCCACCAAGTGCCTGTTCTGCGGTTGTTGGGATACCGAGGAGTTTCCCGTAATGGGCAAATACTGAGTCAGGAGGCGAAAAAAAAAAGCTCGATTTCAGTCGCAGATAGACACGGGCTACTCGGGCCTGGGCTTCTGAAACCCAGCTGCTGATCACTGGTGCAACCAGCGCCCTGCACGCTCGGACGCGCCAAATACTAGACTGCAAGGAAGGCGCTCAAACCCATCTCTCCAAACGCGCCTTTTACCCAGTGGCAGCCGTGAGCGCCACGTGTTAAAGGAAATACAAAATCTCCCCCTATGTACACATTTTGCAATCTCAAAAACTTGGACAGAGTTTGTGCTCGATTTACACAGACCTAAATCCCACCTGCGCTAGTACAGGCGCGGGGAAGAGAATATACACCTAGATCTCCCCCTATGCCTGTGCGTATCAAAAGCTAATGCGCGCGGGAACTGGCTTCATTTTGCACAACGGTTTGTGGGTGATGCGACAAGCACAGGCCCGGCCGCCTAACACCAGTGCAGCAGGAGCCCAGATGTAGGCAGGGATCTCTCATCGCTAACTATGGACCAAAACAGACAACCCGACCTATGCTGTCATTTTCCTCCTTGCTGATCAGGGCGGCGATGCAGGTTGCAACCGCTCCCTGCCAGCAGGCGTGTCCCAATTCGCATCTGGTTTCCTTGCTGGTTTCAATTAGACTGGTGCTCTAAGCCAGTGAGTGGTTCTCAGCCAGGGGTACGTGTACCCCTGGGGGCAGGCAGAGCTCGGTGCCACAGGACCCTCTGTTGCTTTTTACAGATCCAGACTAACACGGCTACCCCTCTGATACTCTTCCAGGGGGTACATCAACTCCTCTAGATATTTGCCTAGTTTTACACCAGGCTACATAAAAAGCCCTAGCAAAGTCAGTACAAACTAACATTTCATACCGACAAGGACTTGTTTGTACTGCTCTATATACTATACACTGAGATGTAAGTACAATATTTATATCCCAATTGATTTGTTTTATAATTATATGGTAAACATGAGAAAGTAACCAGTTTTTCCAGTAATAGAGTGCAGTGACGCTTTTGTATTTTTATGTCTGATTTTTAAATAGTTTTTAAGTGAGGTGAAACTTGAGGGTAGGCAAGACAAATCAGCCTCCTGGAAGGGGTACAGTAGTCTGCAAAGGGGGAGAGCCACTGCTCAAGGCAGCTTTTGAGTTACTTTTTTGTTCATCTCAGACAGATTTTTTTCTTAAGAAAACAAACAATCACACAAAAAAACCTTTTCCAACGCAGAAAAAAACGCATATTCTACTCACAGCGAGATCCTTCTCCTGGGACTTCAGGGGTGGGGGATTTGGTTGGGAAATACGGAACAGACTGATATTGTCGCTGTTAAGTTTTCTACTCACACGCCTTCTAAACAGACCGTATGCACACAACCCCCCGAATGCTTTTAAATGTGCTCCGATAGGAAACAAGAATAACAAACAAAACAAAAACTCCATCAAAGCACGGATAGCATCCGAAGAAGTGGGCTGTAGCCCACGAAAGCTTATGCTCTAATAAATTTGTTAGTCTCTAAGGTGCCACAAGTACTCCTGTTCTTTTTAGTGCCAATATAGTTCGTTTCAAAACCTGATGGCATAACATGGCCCTCAATTGTGTGGAGGGCTGTTTAAAGGCAATTGCTGATGCTTGTGCATTAAAATAAGAATATCGCTTGTTCAGATCACTTGCCCCTTCATTCTCTTCTCCTGCCTTGCATTCAGTGCTAACTCTCTCTCCGGGTGAAGAGAGGAGTCGGTTCGCCCTATCCTTGCTGAAAGTAAAACAGCCCAGAGCGCCATCCTCCTTGCTGACTTGGAGCTCGCTTACGTTCAGTTTAATTTTATTTTTAATTAAACCTCAGCATCTCCACGGGCAAGGTCCAGATCCTGCATTCGGTGGGCATCCCAAGTTTGTAGTGCGGGAGTCCTGGGTGCCCCAGAGAGCAGGATCGGGTGCCAGTGGGTGTGAAGCTCAGGGGGGTACTAATTCCAAAGCCCTGCAGGTTTCACATTCGCTACGGAAGGCTTTCCACAAACGCCACGCGCGCCCGCATCTCTTAGCGTCCCGCGAGGCAGCTGCAAAGCAAGCGTCATTGACATACACAGGACAGCCCCCAAAGCCTGCTGCGTGCGATCCTTTTCCTGAAGACACAGGCAGAATTGCTTAATCAAAACTTAGCTTTCTCCCATATAAGCCCACCTATAGATGAGCTGATAGAGAGAGACAGGTATTTCCACACACATCATCCGGGCGCGAGAAAATGCTCTAGCGAGCTAGCTAGCCAACGGAAGTTTTGAGTCATCAGCCCCGTGTCTCCAGGAAAACACAAGTCCACCCTGCAGAAAGTGTTGGTATTTTTTTCTCAGAAGGGGAAAAAATCCAGTTTAGAAGGAAGCGAAGGGAAGGAGAGTGACCAATGTTTCGTGTGCCTTTCTCGGAAAACCACCTTCACTGTAGCTATCGGGCCGGATTTCACCCCCCGCAACACCAGATGAAGTCAGCGGGAGCTCGCGGGGCTCGGCTCCTTTGGAGAACCGGGCCCTCCGTATATTTTCAGTTTAATCAACTCCATCAAAACTGAGCGGGGGATTGTGGCTTCCCCCTGCCGCCCCCAGATCTCCATTGCCTGGAGTTTGTGCAGCGCAGTACTCATCGCTTACTACTTTGATGCACGGGATAGTGAGGGGCGGAAAACTGCGCCTGTCTTTTTATTTCCTTAGTATTCCTCCAGTGGGGTCAGCTATTTCTACAACCTCCGCGCGGTGCTTTAACGTTGGCTGCAGCTGGACCGATAAGGGGCCCCGGGGAGCTGCCCCCCACCCACGATCAACCTCGCCAGGAGCAAGAAGAGCTCCTGTGACCTGAATCCCAGACAGGCTGCCCCCCCGCTGCCCCTTGCAGAAGAGACATTTCCTTTGTTAAAGGCAGGATCTTGCAGACGTGGTAATAAAGTAGAGTGAGGACCTCCCCCCCCCCACCCCCCACAAACCACACCAAGCCTTTCTCTGCTACAGCCAAACACTTTTAATGTTTCCACACGGACACCGGTGTAACTATACAGCACAGGGGCTCCCCGGGGGCGCGTGGCAAGGGTCCATATGACACAGAGGCTTGGCACCCCTGGCCCCTCTCCTTTAACTCTTACCCCTCCAAGCGGCGCCTGCAAAGGCCGGGGGGGTCCTTTCACCGAGCGTCCTGCTGCCTTCGCGGGGTGGTGGTAGAAGGCTGGGGGGAGGCAGCGAGGCTAGAGGGGAGCAGGTCTCTGGAGGCGGCCGAGGCCAGGCATTGCTGGAGCTCCTCTTTCCCCGGCAGCTCCCCAGAGGACACCACACAGTCTTGGTCAGCGTCATTGCTGTTTCCTCCGCCGGCCCCCGCTCCCCTCTTTTTATCCTCTTCCTTCTTCCACTTCATCCTCCGGTTCTGGAACCAGATCTTTATGTGTCTCTCTGTCAAGTTCAGCATGACAGCCAGCTCCACGCGGCGGGGCCTGGAGATGTACTTGTTAAAAAGGAACTCCTTCTCTAACTCCAGGAGCTGCGCTCTCGTGTAGGCGGTCCTCGTCCTCTTATTCTCCTCTTGCTCTACCACGTAGGAGCCACCTAAAGAGAAGGGAGAGTTAAAATCTACCCACCAGGGACTAGGACCCGGAGCGACGCTGGAAAGGCGATAGAAACTTCTTGTCCAGAACACAACGGGGGCGGGGGGCGGGGAGAGGCAGGTTTCCCCCCAGGCTTCCCCTTTTACTCACAGATGAGCGGTTTAATGGATCGGGGATTCTCTTTCGAGATCCAGACAACACTGAAACCACGGGCGTGTGTGGGTATTTGGTTTTTAATAAAACAGACTGAGCCCAAACCCCAGCACAAATCCTTGTCTGCATCCCAAAAGGTTTACAAATCCGGCCCAAGAAATTGACAGAGGGGTATGGATTCTGCCCTTTAAAGAATGAAACTAACAAGGAAAAGGCATTCCAGGGCCGAGGTGGATTTTTAAGAGCGTTTCTTTACAAACACCAGCACAGAGCGAAGACACTAGTCCGAAGCTGCTCCGCTTGTTACCTGTAAATCCGTTTAGTAACAAAACGCGCGCTGTGTGGTATGGATCCCGAGTAAAATCCCCGGGCCATACTCTACCATCAGTGTTTGAGTGCAAGTCCCCAGTTGAAATCAAGGTCTCAAAACTGACGAAATGATATGGCCCCTTGGGGGGGGGGGGGGAAATAACAGCCGGTGCATTTGTGACAATGGCTGATGATTACTGGCATAGGGCGATTTGTAAACTTCATGCTTTACAAAAATCGGAGCTGCCTTTGAGTGACAAAACCACCCGTTTTTTTGTAAATTAAAACTCCCAAACACCTCTCGCCGCCTCTCACCCAGCCCACAGACTTTCGGAGATTCTGCCACGCCGCCATCACGGCTACTGTACGAAAGTGAGCTTCCTTCGGCACTGCCAGCCAGAACCCCGGGGTTTATAATTCGGGTGCAAAAGTTTAAACCTTTTTTTAACCGCTAGACCCGGTCTAATTTAGAGGCTCCTCCTTCTTTCCTGGAGGCTGGAGCACCCCAAACTCCACTGCAGTCAATGGCTCCTGGCTATTTTCAGTTCATAGCAGTGCAAAAATTATTGTTGCTCTAGCTCAAAACCTCAACATCACTTTTGATTTTACAAAAGGAAAGGCGGATTCCTGGAAAGAGAAGTTTTCCTTAATCGGCCAGGAATTTGCAACGGATTAGTCCTAATCCAGCCATCATCCCAGTCATTTTACAAAGGCAAATACAATTCCCCAAGTGCTGGAACTGAAAAAAGAAAAGTGTCTGCTGTATTCACAGAGACTATGTTCCACAGGGATATTTGAAGAGTCTCATTAAAAAAACACAAACAAACAAAAACAAAACAAACAAGAACCCTGGATCCTGCAGTCCTTACTCAGACAGACCTGGCCAGTGACTATAAATAGAGAGCGCAGCCGGATCGGGCCCTAAAGCCTATTGCAACTAACTAATCGAAATGTAGGCTTCCTAGCATAATAACAGCTGTGAATAAACCTATGTGCCTGGTGTCACAATTCATGTGCAAAACCCATCCGGATAGTCCTATAACAGATTCCTAGTTCCCAGCAACCTCTCCCTTCTTCTGGGTGTTTGCTGGACAATGAGTATTCTATGTGGGTATTTTAAGGTTAAACACGCTTCAGACAGGTAGTATTGTTAATTAATTAATTAATTAATTAAATTAATGTCTTTTTAAGCAAATAGCCTTCACAACATACAAGATCTTTAGGCATGAAAAGGGAAAAACTACTGTCTAAATTATTATTATTATTTCTTGTTATTATATACCTTCTAGAGGGGGGCACTAATACACATTTAAACAACACGAGCCGTTCGGTTTATCATGCCACTCATTGTTAAACGTCCATTTTTGAAATTATTATTATTTTTCCCATTACTATAAAACCAAAAACGAATTGTGTGCAGAACAAAAAAAATATTGTCCGGCCGAGTGAAACTCAAAGGAGCAAGGACGTTTAGAGAGAGTGTGACCTTAATCCGTCCTTCTGCCTAGGTATTACAATACCTCTGTAAAGAAAAACAAGAAGATTTTTTGGACACTGCTGCAAATACCGAAGCGTAAGTGACTGTCCCCTGCGGATCCTGCCCCAGTTGAAATCAGTGCCATAACTCCGAGAGCAGGGCCCGGTGGGTTTTAAGAACTATGTTTGTACATAGGCAAAGCTCCCAAGGGGAATTCAAGAGGAAGTTTGCATGAGAAATATGAGGGCAAGGCTCAATTTTGCTTTTCGTGGACTTTGTAAATTCTAATTAAAAACTGTTTCACATAATGAAGGTCCTTCTGCACTGACATCAGGAACCCCGGGGTTTATAATTCGTGTGCAAAAGTTTAAACCTTTTTTTTAACCACTAGACTCGGTCTAATTTAGACACTCCTCCGTTCCTTGAGCACCCCAAACTCCACTGCAGTCAGTGGCTACTGGCTATTTTCAGTTCATGGAAGTGAAAAAATATATTGTTGTTATAATAACTCCAAATCTCATATTCACTTTTGACTTTACACAAAGAAAGGCAGATTCCTGGAAAGAGAAGTTTTCCTTAATCGGCCGGAAATTTGCAAGAGATTTGTCCTAATGCCATTGACTGCTATGGGAAAAGGCTCAAGCCCCAGTTGTTTACGGTTATTTGTATGTAAGATATTTTTGATCCCATATTTGCTTTTACCAGTATATGTTAACGTGTAACAAGGTGACGCTGCGGATTTCCCCCGAATCCTTGCATCGCTAAGAATCGGGCCAGTTTGTAGGCGATACCACTGCCAATAACCAGCTACGCCATTAATGCAAATGAACTTAATTCCAGATATTTCTTAAGGAAGCTGCTATTTCTAAAGATAAGCACTCATTCATACAAATATACATATATAGTATATGTAATGTGCATATACAGGCGTATATACGTACATTTATATAGAATACATACTCTATGCAAATTACATAAACATGTGTACATATCATGCGAGTATATATGTATATATGTGTGTATACATTATATATGTGTGTGTTTACATTGTATATATATATTTCACACACATGTTCTGAACCAAGTTTTTATGTAAGAAGCTACTTAGATTAATTGAAAAAGTCAGTATGGGAGAGTGTGTTCATGATTTTTAGGTTTTAGGGATCTCCCCCTATATTAAACCATGAGAATAGAGGGCGCGTATCTGGTTTCTTTCTATTTATTAAACGCATGTGAAATGGCTATGATTTGACCCCAGATCAAAAACCCTTCGAATATATTTGCCCTTTAAATGGGTGAAAGGAAAGACGTCCATTTCTTGCAGTGGTTTCTTTTCGTTTCACACTGTCAGGGTAAGGAGCAAAGAACACAGTTTGATTCTTGTTTTCAATTTAACGTAATTACCAGAATATTTCAGCATTATTTCAATATTTCACTACCTTTTCAACTGTCTGTTTGAACACAACCATTAATGTAATATTTGCTGTAGAGGTGTGACAAAGAGTGCACAAGGCACAGGGCAAGATAACATTGTGCAGCGAGAGACAGAAATATTGTTCTACAACGGAACTTTCTGTCCAGAGAGAGTTTCTTCCTCTTGCTGGCAGGTAGCTAATTCAGTTTGTGTATTGTGTCCCCTACCCAGGTTTAAAAAGTTTCCACAGTAAGACATAAGTAAGGCTAAAACAATCGCATACAGACAAGAATTGAACGGCCAGGTAGGCGGGGTTGTGGCGTTATTTATTAAAAGATTTAGCGTTTAATATTACTTTCAAAATGTCTTTTATTTTACTCTATATTGTGAGGGCATTTCAGACAGCAACTTGGCTGTGAGATCTGCGGGACATTCTGGGCTATGTTTTTTACGCAGTGAAATCAACGAGGGAGTCTCAAAGCGAGGGCACAACGTGGCCTTTTCGTAGGATCTGACTGCGAGTAACCCTGGGCATTCCCACTGGAAGTTGTCCATTTCCCATCCGGCGCTCCCTCTGCCCCGCGAGTACTGATACAAGTGGCAAAAACTGCATTTTCCGAATCAGATCCTGACGTTAATGGTACAGCTCTCAGGGTGAACTCCTGGCCCTACTGAAGTCAAAAGGCAAAGCTCCCATTAATTTCAATAGGGCCAGGATTTCACCTTCACTGTCTACAAATGGAGCAAGATGGGGGTCCTTGTGTTTTCCTTATCCCTTCTGTTAGGCATGGATCTCCGCCTTGCATTCTTTGCACACCCCGCTGACTGCAAGGGGAGTTTGGGGCTGGCTACCACGGGACAGTGTCCCAACAGCTTTAATATTTCCCAGTGACCGGATGGAATATACTACTAACAAACTGGCAGTGAGATCAGTATAAATCCCTGGACAATAAGCACCTGGTCAGGTGAGTTGAAACAGCAGCACCCTGTGTGTTTAGCTTAGATAAGTATCAACTTCAGCCTGATACTTAGTGCTAATTAGTTAATTAGTTAAACTAATTAGTTAATATTTGTTCAGTGCTTTGCAACAGTAAAGAACTATATAAGGACTAAGTATAATTGTAATCACTTTGCCTTCACCCAGTAGAAAACTGAAGGCGGTTGAGATTTATTCCTGAGCTTTTCTTTCTCACTGATTTGAAATGCGATGGCTTCATTAAAGGTATCAGAACTGGGTACATATTTCTGGATACAGGGTACTTATTTATATTATAGAAGAGTTGCCAGACTATACTATACAGACAGGATTGAAATAGAAAATGGACTCATAGATCTCAGGACATTGAAATACATCCCCATTTAAAACTGGTGCTATTGCTAATGCCAAACTGACCCCAACACTTCCTAAAACAGGAATTTTATGGAAGTGGAAGAGAAGAAACATTTACAGGAGAAATCTTGCTAGCCTGGCTTACTTCCTAGTGAAACAGCGAACAAATGATAGGGAATTTCCCTAAGCCTCTCTCTGAAAGTAATCACACACTGGGCTATCCCAAATGTAGTCTTCATTTAGTAACCCGAAGGGGAATTATTAGTGATGAGAAGGTTTTCTTGATATTGTACAAGACAGAAGGAGAGGAAGCAACAGCAGCAGCAGAAGAAGGCGACTATCTTACCGGTCCATTGTCCCTTCCAGGCGTGAGATTTGGTGGATTTCATCCATGGGAAAGGCAACTGAACTCTAGGTTCCTCTAAAACCCCAGTGACAGTCCCATCTGCAAAAGGAATAGCTTCCTGGTGGGGATGAGGAAGCTGAGGGTGATGAGGGTGGTGGTGGTGATGGTGATGAAGATGGGAGACCCCTGGATCCTCTGTAATGGGGGGTACCTCGTAGGGTGAAATGTCTGGCGGGCTGCCTTGTTCCAGCGCACCTAAAGCACTAGAGTAGGGTGTCTGCTGCTGTCTACCCATGTACAGGCAGGCTGGGGGGTTCTGGTTATAATCCTGTGCCTGGGATCTCTGAAACGCACACGAATCCTTGTAGAGCTGGGTCGATGCATAATACTGTTCTTCAGTGTTCATGGCTAGAAGGGGACCTTAGCTAGTGAAACATCAGGTGCTCCCACTCCGGGCAGGTTGTACGTCTGCTTTGACAGGTCCGCTTCACCTGCGGGAGCAGATGATGAAACAGAGACGGGGCCGGCCGAGGGTTGCCTCCCCATAGGCGCCACTTCTTCCCACGTGAGCCTGCCTCAGCTCCCCATTGGGCGGGGCGTTTCCCATAAGAAGAAGCCCTTGGTGGCTGGGATGGGTGAGCTTCTTTCGCTTTCCTCGGAGGGCTGGAAGCGCCGGTTCTGCTGCAAGCATCTTCACAGTACTGACACGTAGCGCATCACACCGGGGCATGTGTCCTCCTGGGTGTGAGACAGTGGGAATTAAACACCCCTGTTTGGGGGGAGGGGAGGTTTTTTAGGATCTAACACTCACATTGCCCAATGCATCGCTGCGGTTTCTGTACCTACGGTGTGTACAGAAAGACAGATGTAGGGGGCGGGGGCAGAGAGAGTCCGGGTGTGTATTATAGGTTTCAAGATAGTGCAGGTGGCTGTGCTTTCACTAAAGTTTGTCTAGGCTCAATCAACAAAAAGTGCCCAGGATTGTTGAATTTTAAACCTCTAACTTGGGAAACCCTATCTCCGTGTGTGAGTTAGATTAGGAAGGCCACTCGCTGCTTATCACATTGTCACTTACTTCGACGTGGGACTCAAGAATTCAAGTGATAACGAAAACGAATCCTTTCTCAAAGCACATTGACTAGCCTCTGGTTCATTGCCTTCTACAAACCGGGGAAGTCAGATCTCTGCGTTTTCAGGTGACTCTGTATATCTCTGTGTAACTGTTCCTGTCTACGCACACAGACACATCTATCAGCAAAACCACACAGATATCACATACACACACACGGATATAGATATTCTCGCACACAATTAGATATGCGCAATTGATTAACACAACACACACAATATCACAGCCCTCTTCCCAAATATTGAGGAAAAATGTTGTCAGTAGGTAGGTAAATTTGCTTGAAAAGCTGGGTAGACATTCTGTGTCCCTTTCAGGTTCACTCCTTATTGTCGTGTGTTGTTAATATTTCACAACCTCTTTGCAAGGGGTGAATCCTAACGTTTTTTTTTTTTGATGCGGTGCTATTCAAATTGCAAAATGTGTTTGTGTGTACTTGTGTGTATAGCTATATGGATGTGGTAGACCTATGTGAGAGTGTGGGCACACAGATGTGGATAGACAGAAGTAGGTGTGTGTGTGTGTTGTAGACACAGGAGTGTGTACATGTGTATGTTCCTTAGGGAAAAAGACCATCTGTGAAGCAATCTTGTGGCAGACACAGTGAAAAGAGGCAAAGATTTGCCTTCTCTCTGCAATCTTTCCCTGTCCTGGAGTGAATAAAGACATTGCTGGGTATTCGCCGCAGAAGACCACAATGCTATCAATATAGCGACCGATAGCGAACGCATTGATTCCCGACAGGGTAGTTTGGTAGACTTCTCTGCAGCTTGGCTGAGACGTGTTGACCCTTGGAGATAATGTGCTCTAAGTTGGTGCTGGTTGACTTGGTGACGAGGCTATGAGGAGGCGGAGAGCTACCGAAGAGGACAAAGATCATTTCCCTACCTGCTCGTGTTCTCGCGGACACACACACACACACACACACACACACACACACACACACACACACACCCCTACCTTACCTTGCACTCCTCTCGTGGTGCATTTCTGCAAAGCGGTCTCCATGCAAACCCCGCCTTGACTCCCCTGTTGTGGTTTGGTTCTAACACCAATTAAGGGGGGGGCAAGGGGGGAGCGCAAAGCTGAACATTCCATCCTGTCCCTATCTCCTGGCGGGCCCACGGCGAACGGGGCAGAGCTGAGGGCCCTGAGATGAGAGACACATTCTGGGTCCATAGATCTGCCTTTTGGACGGGGGGCTAATAACTGCCCAGGGACCCGGCAAAGAGCGCGCCTGGGTTGAGAGAGTTATCAGCTGTTCTGTGCGTGGCAGACAACGGAAACCAATGCCACGGAGCCGAAAAGGGCTGAGTAGATTGCTCAAATGCAGGGTTCCCGGGGATCATAAAACCTCCGAGTCCATTACATTTAAAATGAGTTTCCGCTATGAATCCATTCGCGTCCCCCCCCCCTCCCGCCCCGCTTAAAAAGCACACTGCGCATTTGATTCAATATTGAGCCATTAAGCAATTGCTTTCCCAAGTCATTTAACAGCAGCTCTTATGGATAAATAAACAAAAAAGGCTGTAAACCAATTACAGTGCGGAGAGTGAAAAAAGGGATTTTATTAGCAGGAATTACTGCTAGACACGGCTGCTACTCGGCTCCTCTCCCCCTACCCGAGCCTCTCCCCCAGCAAGAAAGCCCGGGCGCTATTTTAGAGCGGAATGCAAGAAGCAAGCTGCAGGCTTTTAGTCTTCCACATCGAGTGACATTATGATTAGTCTCGAAAGAAACGTCTCCTCCGGTGGGTCTCTTCCTTGGCGGGTTTAGGTAGAAGCGGGATTGTCTGGTGTGAAAAGCCCAAGTTTCTGAACCACTTAATTTCGCACTTTTAGGGGCGAGGCCTGCCAACCCTTACCCAGGCGGGTACAACTTTAGTAAAGGGGAGCCGCTCTGTTGCAGTTCGTGGCAAGCTGCTCACCAACTGCGGGACCAGAGCCCTGGTGGGTCTGGCAGCTTTGGACTTGTAGTTCCCAGAATTGAGCTGGCGACACAAATTTCAGCAGAAACCCCCTTTGCTGAGCTCATGCTCTGGCGGCCAGCTCTCTCCCAGCAACAGGCCACAGTGTGCCACTGGCTTTTAAGCAGAGCTCCCCAGTGACACCAATGGCAAGGGCAGACTGGTGCATCTTCGCCTCAAGTACAGACAAAGGTGGCTTCTCGCACGTAAACAAACTTCTGGGTCAGCTCCTACCTCCATCGTCGTTAATGGAGTTTTACCTTAGATGTCAGCGGGACGAGGATGGTCCCTTTGCGTGGTAAAGCTGCCACTCAAAGTCACTTCTAAACACACGCCCACCCCCTTCCCCAAATCCCAGTCCTTTTAGCCGGACACCCATCGCCGTGGTAGCTGCTCAGAATGACCGTTTCTGTGCAGCGCTGACAAACAGCCCTGACTGTGTGAAAAACCGATGATGGTTTCACTTGGGCTATTCTTCTGCCCCGACGTTAGTGCGCAGAGCAAGCGAGGCCACGCGCACAGCCACAGTGGCGTGCACAGAAAGAGAAGGCTGATAAGTCAAGTCAGGGCAATAAAAACCAAAGCAAATGGATTCATCGCCAGGTAGTACCATTAACCAACGGTGTCTTAATGCGATACTCTCCCTGTGACGAGCATTTCTAAGCAGAACAAACAACCTCCCTTAAAAGTAAATGAATTTCATATAATTTACAGCTAATTCTCCTTAATTCTGCTTTCACGAGCAGGCGATAAGGGAATGTTGCGCTGGTTAACAACAACCCGGCAAACTGAAGTTCAGGAAAAGGTCCTGGTTTTATTTCCAGCGGCAGTATCCTGGCCCTGTCTGACTCCGGTGGAAGTCCAGGGCAAAGCTCTCGCTGATTTCAAGCAGGATCACGTCGCTGATCCTAGCACGTTGGCAATCGCGATCATCCCTCTGTTCTTCCGAGTAGGAAAAGGGAGATGAGCTAGGTTTACAGGGTGACTGTAGATACCCTCCTGCCAGGGAAACTGCGACATTTTCTTACCTTCCCATGATCAGAGGGTGGGAGGTTCTAATAAGACCCGTGGCTCTGGAATTAAGCACATTTGAGGAGGAGCAGAACCTCCTCGGGCTCGGGACAAATCTTACAGAAACAGCTTTTCAGGTGAGGATCTGAATGCACGCTCCGGAGGCATATTGTACACTCATGCTGCATCCAGAACTCCCATTGAAATGTATGAGAAACCTAGATTGATGAGAAATAATGTAGAATGTTGACTAGCTTAGCAAAGATAAGGTTAAGGTGAGTTGATCATCTCCTACAAGTACCTAGGTAGGGGGAATGTATCTAATACTAGGGGACTCTTAATTTAGCAGCTAAAAGCAGAGCAAGATCCAGTGCCTGGAAGTTGAAGCCAGGGGGAAAAAAAATCAAACCGGAAATAAGTGGCACATTAGACCACTGGTACGGATTACTGAAGGATGTGGTAACTTCTCCCTCACTTGGAGTCTTTACACCAAGACTGGATGTCTTTCAAAAAGATATGATCTAGTGCAACTAGAAGTTATGGGCTTCACCTAAGACAGCGACCTTTCTGGCTACAAAATGTAGCTCTGAGCACTTCAGTAAAAGCCATACACAGTTTGGGCACATGTATGAGTTAAACACTCGCCAGGTTTGGCAGAAGAGTGGGTATGGAAACCTGACATTTAAATTATGTACTACCTTTGATCCTTGTGCATGGCTCCCATAAACATCAAATGGAGTGCCAGCACAGTCTGAGAGCAACACAGAGATCCAGGTTGTATATTACTGTGGCAAATAGGAGTACCGCTTTGAGGAACCATCACTTTCTATGTATCCTTATTCACATGAAATTTGCTGTAAGGATCTCTTAGTAAGACACTTCTCTATTCCAAGACAAAACAAAACAAAAAAACCCCTAAATTAAAATTCAATCAAGGTTAAGAGTATATATCAGTATCTTAAAGCTAAAAAAATTACATAATTATATAATTATCTCAAAATCAAGCTTTACAAACCCAGAATTTCAGAATTATAGGTATACTTAAAAATAATGCAAACATGTGACATCATGCAATAATCACGATTATAATTAAGGCATGTTTGTGGTGCCATATGGAATTAAACTGGAGGTGTCCCCCCCCCACACACAATTGATTTCCCCCGCTTCATGGTGTCACTACAGGACAGAGCTAAGGGTGATTTTAGCAATATATTTCCTTAGCTTAACAGGCTTGATCTTTTTAAATTTAACCTTAATGTAATGGGGTGCTTAGCACTTTTGAAAATCAGGCCACATGCGTAGG